AGGTAATGATCTACTAAGCAGTAATATGTAAGTTAAAATCCTTACCATCAGTTTACTATAGCTTAAATATGAAAATAATTCCCCTACAGCCACTTGGAGCCTTTCTACATGATGAATCTAGAGAGTTCCCACTCTCTAGATGAGTTGCATCACCTTCAGTGAGTAAGCTATACTGGCCCCACTGCAGCACCTGACAGAGCTTCTGTAGACCGTGGTGGTGATGGTCAACTTTTATTTCCATGGATATCTAGAAGAATTTTAGTTTCTGTATATCGAGACCACTAGAACTTGAACTTTTCACCTTCATGCCAGCATATAAAGTCCACCCATTGAGTAGGCAAGGGTTATAACACAGGATTGTTTGAGACATTTGCAAAAAGGAGGTCTAAGAGTTTCTAATTTGCTAAAATCCAAAGATGTACATATTAAGAGAACTAGATAAAATAATATCTTACTTCATTTTTTTGGTCCTTCACTGGGCTGATTAGGCTTATTTCTGAAATCTGTCTAGCTGAATTTGTTGCTTTGGATTTTAGTTATGCATTAACCTAACTTAGCATATAATTTCAAATAAAGAACATTTCTATTTCAAGTACATTACAAGCATTCCTTAGGATACTGATTTTTAGAAATTATCTAGACCTTCTTAAGTTAAATACATTGACTTCAGTGTTCAGTGGCTGCCTTTGAAATGCTTCTCATTTTTCTGCAGTTCAGGCTAACAAAAAAACCACAGACCTTAAGCACAAGATTCTTGCAAAGGTTAGATAGCCCCGTGCACCAAGAAAACTATCGCCTGTAATTCACTTCCAGACTGACAAGCAGTGACTCACTGATAGATATAAAATTGCAGAGTCCAGATAACACTTTTGAAAACAGGTGTAAGAGAGAGTAGAAGAAGTCCTTCGCTATAAAACAACTCGAGATGATTTAGCAAAACCTTGTCTGGGCTCATAAGCTACAATAATTAGAGACACCATATTGTATGCAGCAACACACTGCTAGCCACCAAACATCATAAACTTTCATTAATCCCATGAAAGCTGATTGAAAAAAAAAATAGCTTTTTAGTTATCATAGTTGGAAAAGATTTAGCAAGCAGGAAAGAGATGTGAACCCGTACAGTAGAAACGATGTTGAAATCCAGTTACATTATTACCTGTAGTCGTTTGACAGCCTGCTTTTCTCCTGTTAGGAGAAGGGGGTGGGCAGTCCAGTTAGCTAATTTTTTCAGGCTATTGAACCTGTAACACAGAAACTTCAACGAGAGCGTCAACTCCTAGAGCTGCAGGCAGTCAGCTCTCTGTTTCTCGTTTTGGAATACGCAATCTCATAGATGATTCAAGTTACTAGCTATCTTTTATTAACAAGGATATTCTATATCATGTACCTGGAGCTTTTTATAGATTCTGCTTCTCATTTGACTGCCATGATGCCCTTTATATTGAAGGAAAGCATGAGGAGATTTGCCACATAGTTAGTGAGGCATCATCTCTTGCATGAATTACTTCAGGAGCCTGTTTCTCAAGAACACACGTTCCCAAACAAGGCAAGGAAGGTGTCAAGCTTAGTCACTGATGAACTTACATCACTGAGAAAAAGAGGTGTGTGAAAAGGATGACGGAGACCTTTACTTCATAGCAAGTAGACATTTTTTTGGATTCTTCCTGAAATAAAATGTTGTAAGACTTTTAGCACAGGTTGAGCAAACTTGAATATAGGATCACTGATACAGGCAGGAGGATGCACAAACCCTTATGTACCGCTATGGCATACAGGAGAACCAACAATTATTCAGGCAAATTCTCTAAAAAAATTAGTGAACTGTCTGATGATTAATCTTCTTATAATTCTGATACACACATAATAAGGGATTGTGCCCCAGATACTTTTGAATAAGAGAGTATAGTAGAATGCATTGCTTTCATTGTGCAGAACTATAATAAACCCATGGTTTCAAAGAAATTATAACATGTAATTGCAAAAGATAGGTTTTTTACTCTAAATTCCATCAGAAATACATGCAATGCAAAGATGATATGGAATTACCATCTCTTTCTGATCCCAAGGGAATGCATATACGATGGTTGCCATGATTTAAGAGCAAACTATTATACAGAAAATCATAGAATCATGGAATGTTGGAAGGGACCTCTAAAGGTCATCTAGTCCAACCCCCCATATGTCCAAAAATATAGTATTCAGTCCCAGTGCAAAGAAACACAACTATTTTAATCTTGGACCAGTTTTTAAGCGTTGTCTTAAATTAAAAGGTTGTATAAAATGTCTGAATATGAAATGTTTCTACAAGTGAAAAACGATGCTTTGGAATACTTTGCCATGCAGTGTGTGGTACCCAAATTACATAGCAAAGAACATGTAAATACAAAACTCACTGTAAACAATAGGAAAAGAGTTTACTTTGCCACCCTAATAGGGACAAAATACCATCAAATACATGATGTAAACAGCTACATCACAACTGAATTTTTCACTGCCAGGCATTTCTGCCTTAAAATTCTATTTATATTCCAGTCTTGAATATTTCTTTTAGGATGTAACTTGACTGGCAAGTTAGGCTCAGAAACAATTGCGTTACTAATACTGTGTGGAAAAAACAATTTAAAAAATCTGTTTCGTGGTGTTATATCCCGTTCTGTACAGACAAAGAATTCAATTATTTCAGATGTGGTTTTCACTTTTATTTCTTTAATATATATGCAAAATGTCTTTCATTATTCTTTCTCTTTATAACATAATTGTCTTCTAAAAATTAAATTCTATGGTACAAATTATCTAGCTGTTTTTATACATTCATGCAGCTTCATGCCATTCCCTTTGAAGTAAATGACAGTGTTTCCTTCAACAAGAATTTTTTTTTTAGAAGTGCCCTCATATTAAGCCTAGACCACGCTCAGTATTTTTGAGGTATGCTGAATGCTCTTGGCTGTAAGAAAAGTTACATACTTTGTCAGGGAGAAAGGAAAAATTACTCAGATTTATCAATTATATATTCTCATGTCTTTCAATATTAAAAATAAGAAACGAATTTCCTATCTTCAAAAGTTCAAAGTCCCAAATAAAAATTTTTTAATCTTTTATTAAAGTTCCAGTTCTGAACATTCATCTACATCTCACAAACTTTACTTCCGTAACTATACCTGCTGATATTTTGGCCTTGACTGTCCTAAATCGCTTCTTTGGAGACAAGAACTTTCCCTGGCTTGTCCTTTTTGCTTTCTTGCAAATTTTGCTGCAAGATAAATTTTTCCTCCCATGAAGGTCCCTCGAAGTATGCAAAAATAAATCATGGATTTGCGAGTGTGTGTGTGGATTTGTATCTGAAAGAGCTCTATATGTATACTATATATATATGTGTATATATATACACACACATTATGCAAAAATTTTCTGAGATGCATTCACTGTTCATGACATTTTAGAACACAGATTTTGTATTTTCTTTTTCTTTCATTTTCTTTCCACTCTGTTAAAAGTTCTTTCCGTGATGGTTGTCTTCAATAGAAGCGTAAAACTTCTTTTCGCTAACCATTTCTCACACGAGGGCAGTTTAATTTTAAAGGTGACAGGTGGTTCCTTTATCAGAACAAAGATCTTTTCTTTGCCTCATTATCTGTTCTTCAAGTTAATATTCACAGCTGGGATGTGTGTGTGTGTAAATTTTTGACAAAGAGTTCAGTTCTGGTTATTCTTTTACTTATTATGACGCAGAAAGGATCTATTCTTTTATTAGCGTTTGCTCATAACTGCTTGCCTTCCACTTAATCTTCAGGGTTAATTCGCTGACTCTAAAGACATGTCCTGAAAGTTAGTGTTGATGTGTGTCCAAAAACTGGGTTTCACTACATGGAGAAGATTGTTCTATAGAACAGTTGTGATGTAATTTGTTTTCTATGGAATGCACCAAACAAGAGCCTTGAGGTGGAGGAAATTATTTATATTCCGGCTTGCTTGTGGGGAAGGGGTTATGATTAAATACAAATGAATATCAGAGAGCTGGAGTTTGCACTGTGTCCGATTTTAATTAGTACTTGATGACTGAAATTTGTATTTCATGTATTCTGGTATTAACTTCCCTTCCTCTGAATAAGCAGAATGACTAGAAAAATAACACGATGTTATCACAAAACTTTCAAGATGTCATGGAAACATATTCCATGTCAAAAATTCTGGGTTCCCATTTAACACAAGTGTTAATTCTATTAAAGAAACAAGCAAAATTTGGGACTAGAAATGAGACACAAAACTTTGCATTTTCTTGTTTTCAATGCAAATTCCATTCTCCCTCAGAGGTGTCTCCTGGTGATGTGCTCTGCTGCTGTTGTCGTAGGGATAGAACGCCAGAGTCACAAATCATCTCCAGCATACATCACTTACTTGAAAGCATTGATTGCCTTTAAAATCCATCCAGAGTCTCATTTTCTTTCATGGTAGAGCAGTGTGTGCCATGTTGCCTGCCTTGAACCAGAGCTGCCAGTTTAGGCTAAATGGCTACCTGCTGGGAGCTGTTAAACTGAAATACCTTTTTTTTCGTTTCCTTGCCTAATCCCTTCCTGCAAAACAAAATACCAAGGTAATGTTACTTCTTTTTATGCTTTTCATTGAACAGTTGGTTAAACCTGAGTTTCTTACCGCTTTTAGTTTTTGAGTGCTCGATCTCTCAAACTGACATACAGTTTTCCTCCCTGCGTAATTTGTATGAATTGAACATCATGATCTGCAGCCCAGCTGCTCTGTGCCCAACCCTGAAATGACAACAGTTCCTGCCCAAGAAATTGGCAAGAATAAAAGACTCCTGCAACATTGCAGTGTGAATTTACTGTGATTTGCTTGATCACTAGGGTGCTTTAATTCGAGTGGTTCATAAACCTATCACAACAGCATTCATAGGATGAGACATCTGTGGTGTTTTACTGCCTTTCCATTCTATGCATGCTCCATCTGACAGTTCTTTTTGTTCTTTTTTCCCATTCATGCAGTCACCTAATGCTGGCGACAAGGATGACCAAACATTGACGGTAGGCAGCAATTAGTATTTCTCTGAGCATTTATTTCTCGGGAGGGTGGTGAGACAAGCCTTACTTTGGTTTGGAACACATCATCTTTTTTCTAAATTACTGGTATTTCTTTCCCCCTCCTATGCCACAACAGAATTCAAATAATTTATTTCCAAAGATAAAGCAGTAAATTAATTTTCTTGTTTGGTTTCTATCATTTTTCATTTAGTATTTGTATGACACCTGTGGTGGGTTGACCCTGGCTGGATGCCAGGTGCCCACCAAAGCCACTCTATCACTCCACCTCCTCAACTGGATGGGCAGGGGGGGAATATAATGAAAGACTCATGGGTCAAGATAAAGACATGAAGTTCACTTGGCAGTTACCGTCATGGGCAAAACAGACTTGACTTGGGGAAATTACTTTAATTTATTACTATCAAATCAGACAAGGGTAATGAGAAATACAAAACAAAATCTTAAAACCACTTTCCACCCAGCCCTCCCTTCTTCCTGGGCTTAACTTTATGCCCTATTTCTCTGTCTCCTCCCCCAACAGGGGTGCAGGGGGACAGGGAATAGGAGTTCCAGTCAGTTCATCACATGTGATCTCTGCCGCTCCTTCCTCCTCAGGGGGATGACTCGTCACACTCTTCCTCTGCTCCAGCGTGGGGTCCCTCCCATGGGAGACAGTCTTCCATTAACTTCTCCAACCTGAGTTTCTTCCCACTCGCTGCAGTTCTTCACAAACTGCTCCAGCATGGGTCCCTTCCATGGGGTGCAGTCCTTCAGGGACAGACAGCTTCAGCGTGGGTCCCCACAGGGTCACAGGTCCTGCCAGGAGCCTGCTCCAGCACGGGCTTCCCACGGGGTCACAGCCTCCTTCAGGCATCCACCTGCTCAGGTGTGGGGTCCTCCATGGGCTGCAGGTGGATATCTGCTCCACTGTGGACGTCCAGGGGCTTCAGGGGGGCAGCCTGTCTCACCATGGTCCTCACCAAAGGCTGCTGGGGAATCTCTGCTCCAACACCTGCAGAACCTACTCCTGCTTCTTCTTCATTGACCGTGGTGTCTTCAAAGTTGTTTCTCTCACATATTCTTACCCATCTCTCTGCTCTTTCACAGTAACTTTTTCCCTTTCTTAAATACACTCTCACAGAGGTGCTACCACCGCCACTGATTGGCTCAGCCTTGGCCAGCGGCAGGACCTGCTGTCAAAACCTTGCCACGTAAATTCAGTACCACACCAAAGATTATCCATGTACCATGTATTATAGCAAAATACTGTTTTCTTTAGGGTTGTTTTTTCCCTGTAATTGGATTTCAGGGTCTTATTAGTCAGCAGTCTGTTGGCTCTAATTATCCTTTTTAGTGAAACAAGCAGATAGCCATAAAGTCTTACTCTATGGGATATATTAAATGCATTGATTATTGTACTAGATGATGACAAGGGGAAAAGAACCTCAGAAAATTTTTTAAATATCTTAAAACATCTGCCTGGGCTTGTGCAAAGCATTCATCACTGTCGCACATGACATCCTTTTCTCTAAAATAGAGAGACATGATTTGACAGATGGACCACTCGGTGGATGAGGAATTGGCTGGAAGGTCAGACTCAAAAGAATTGCGGTCAGTGTCTTGATGTCTGAGTGGAGACCAGTGACAGGTGGCTTTCCTCAAGGGTTAGTGGTGAGGTCGACACACTGGAGGGAAGGGAGGTCATTCAGAGGGACCTGGACAGGCTGGAGAGGTGGGCCTGTGGAAACCTCATGAAGTTCAACGAGGCCAAGTGCAAGGTCCTGCACCTGGGTCATGGCAATCTCAAGCACAGGTACAGGCTGGGCACTAAGTGGGTTGAGAGCAGCCCTGCAGAGGACTTGGTGGATGAAAAACTGAGCCAGCAATGTGCACTCGCAGCCCAGAAAGTCAATTGCATCCTAGGCTGCATCAAGAGAAGTGTGGCCAGCAGGTCGAGGGAGGTGATTCTGCCCCTCTGCTCTGGTGAGACCCCACCTGGAGTACCGCATCCTGCTGTGGGGCTTCCAGCATAAGAAAGACATGGACCAGCTTGAGCAGGTCCAGAGGAGGGTCATGAAGATGCTCAGAGGGTTTGGAACACCTTTCCTACGAGGACAGGCTGAGAGAGTTGGGGTTGTTCAGCCTGGAGAAGAGAAGACTCTGGGGAGACCTTATAGCGGCTTTCCAGTACTTAAAGGGGGCCTACAGGAAAGGTGAGGAGGGACTTTTTGTCAGGGAGTGCAGTGATAGGATGAGGGGTAGCGGTTTCAAACTGAAAGGGGGTAGATTTAGATCAGCTCTTAGGAAGAAGTTCTTTCCTGTGAGGGTGGTGAGATCCTGGAACAGGTTGCCCAGAGAAGCTGTGGCTGCCCCCTCCCTGGCAGCATTCAAGGCCAGGTTGGATGGGGCTTTGAGCACATCGTCTTGTGGAAGGTGTCCCTGCCCATGGCAGGGGGGCTGTAACTAGGTGATCTTTAAGGTCCCTTCTAACCAAAACCATTCTGTGATTCTATGATTAAAAGCACGTAAAAGATGCTTATACGTTAGCTGTATATTGGTATAGGTGTCCGCACTGCCTTACAGCACTTACAATCAATATTTAATGGATTGAACCAAAGCAAGGATTATGTTTCACTCTGACTAAGCTTTAGGATTTTCCCATTAAAAATGGGTACTCTTTACCCTTTTTCTCCATAATTGTGATGATACGCATATTTGCAATATACTAAGGCAATAAAAATTAGAACTTACTTCAGGGATTCAACCCCAAGTTTATACAAAGAAACAAATTATGAATTCTTCGTGACGAAGGTATGAGGGTTTTATTTTCTTAACATTTTAAGAGTTTTCATAGAGGATTCCTTTTTCCCTGCTTTTTTCCTGAGCCCTGGGAGACTAATGACTAATCTGATGATCCATCCCCTCCAGAGAAATTTTCTATACATATGGCAATGTTTAATACAGTGTATAGTTTGATATAATCTGCTATAGGTGATGGCTGAAAATGTTTCACTATGCAGTGAGACTTGAGATTCATTCATAGTGTTTCAGAACTGTTTCCACAGAAACAACAAAAAACCCCTAAAGTCTTTCCCTTATTTTTCCACCTAGACCAAGCCACGGCTCCAGCGAGGAGGAAGCTCTGCATCTCTCCACAACAGTCTGATGAGGAACAGCATCTTCCAGCTCATGATTCACACACTTGACCCACTTGCTGAAGGTATTGCTATTAACTTTTTTTGGTTTTCTGCTGCAAAAGCAAACAAATACTTTCCTTTTCCCCTCTCCCCATGAAACTATTTTTTGCATTTCTGTTGCTTTCACCAGTCTTTTCTGAATGTGTCTGAATTTTCTGAGAGTTTTGTGCTCTTGTGGCATGGTATACATACTCCCATCAAGGCTTGCAGTGTAGGAAATGTATTCATTGTGGTGCTGACTAGAACTGATCACTTGGTTGATGCATGTGATTAATTTAGTTTCGCTTCATCTCTGGCTTCAGCAGCAATTTAAAAGTTACAAAAACGCTATCCTCTTGTACTTTGTAGAGAGAGGGGTTTTTGTTTGTTTTCTTTCCTGGTTTTGATTTTAGTACATCAGAAATAAAAGCCAAATTGGTGGGTAATTTTTCATACGGAGCATAGAAAAGAATGACACACTTATGGTTTGATTTTGGGTGGTTTAACGCTAACATTAGAAAAAATGCAACAAACATCCCCCTGTGTTACACACATGCAACAGTTTGCTTGCTTTATTGAAGTGTGTTGTCGTTTTTTTTTTTCTTTGAGAAGTTAGCAGGAAGACCACAATTGCTTTGGTCAGACAAGTTGGGAGGAGAACCATAATTGCTTTGCAATTGTGAGTAATTTGAATCTCAGCTTCTAGTACACTTTCAAAAAAATTCAAGGCCAGGTGATTATTTGGTGGGTGTGAGTCTGTAGGACTTTTCTTGCTGCAGTAATAAATGTCTTGAGAAGTAGTGTTTGTGAAGGAATTGTGAGAGTCTAAGGAGACCTAAAATATTATTGACAGTGAGACTTTTCAAACTTCAGTGATCAAAAAAGTGTATGTAGCACTTCCTTGCATTTAAGTTCCTTTATGTTTCTCATTGCAACATTGGGTACAGCATTTTAAATTGCTCTGTATCTCGTGGACAAAGCAAATCTACTGTTCCCTTTCCCTCTTCAAAAGCTGAATTTGACACTGGTTATGTCAACACAAGAGCAGTTTTAGCCTTTGCAATGTCCACACCATTATTTCTACTCTGATGATGATCTCCATCACTTCTCACTTTGGTTAATGCTGCACTGTTCACTGCTAAAGTCTGTTGCCTGTTAAGAGTGGAGTCATTAACAGACTGTGCCCAATCTATTCCCATTCAATGCCAAAAAAGGACGTAGGAAATTTATTGCAGTTATACGTTTGGCTTCCTTTATTTGCATCGCTACAGCAGCTGAGCAGGCTTTCTAATGCTGCAGCCAGTAAGTCTTGTCTTTATGCACCTGGTAGCCAAGCATTTTGCTCTGCTAGAAGAGGAAAAGACTTCCAATCTCAATTTTTCACTTTTTAATGAAAATAATTTTTCCTTACAATCCTTTGCACTCCACTTTTCTGTTAAAGCAAAGCTCCTGGGCTGCAGATGCATCTGTGGTGTCTCAAATAGCGCTAACACAAACAAAAATAACAATCATGTGAAGCAGTAAATAGAATTCATCAAATATTTTTTAAAAATAAGAGAGAACAGAAGCAGATTGGGAAGAGCTCATTAGCAGGGGAAGAACCTTTATGACAGATTGAAGACCACAGGAAAGCTAGAAATGTTGACTGGAGTTCAATTTGGACTTAGCGAAGATTCAGAAATAAGATCAGCTCTCAGGCATTTTTCCATTGGTCAAGCTTGTTTCACTTGTTTCCTAGACATAGCTTGTTCAGCATTCAGACCTTTTCTCATTACTTTTCCCCTGTAGCAAGCTTGCACCATGTAGTGCTATCCAGAGGTTTCCCCCTTCATGACAGCGCAGAAAAAAGGGGTTTGAAATCTGAAACCCATCTTGGGAGACAGAAGCCCAGCACCTTTGAAAATTAAGTATTATAATGAAGTTTATCAGGTAACTCAATGCTGGTCTTCATTATGTCAGCAGAACACTTGAGATTGATGTGGATTAATACAGATGGTTGCAATGGATAAATCTTATTTAAATTACTCCAGTAACATTTTCTTCAGGGTTTCTTTGCTTATAATAAGTTACTGTTTGTTTAGTTTTTTCCTCTCCAAACTCTTATATTTGTACTGGAATTAATATTCTTCAAAAAATGGAATATAAATGTCCTGTGGCCTTCAAATAAGTGCAAGGCAGTAACCAATGTATGTTTCATTAAAACTGACATTAAAATTTACAAAGGGAAAAGAAATCTGCCAACAGTTGCAGTAATACTGTATTTTAATACACAGCTTTCATGAAGAAATGGCCAAGAAGACACTGGAAAATAGTATATGTACGTGCAAACATCTAAGTTAGTGTTAACATCAAAGTAACTAGTATTTCAAATCCCACTGACTTCAGAAAATTAGAATGTAATTAATGAGTGCCAATATAGGAGTACAATTTAATAAATACTTTTGCACTTGGAACTCTGGGTTTTATTTTTAAAAATATGCCCAGATGTGTAGGAGAAATGTGAAAAAAATCCACCCACTTTTCTGTGACACATTATGGTCATTAAGCATTTCTGAGGCACCACCTCATTTGTAGACACACTTGATGTAAATACTATGGCTAGTCAAGGTAGGTAATATTAGTTAACAAATTTGGATGGCATTGTACTTGAATCTTACATTCAATTCAAAAATATGTGATAACAGATAGGGATACCTGCTGTATACAGCATTGATTATTTATTCAGCTTTGTATGAATTTTACCTAGCAAACTCTTGCCATGTACTTGTGTTTAATCTTCCTGTGTAAAATGAACATCAAACAATCAACTGGTACATCATGTTTACTTTAACAGACTTTTACCATGCTAGCCTAGTTATTTTTTAAGCTGATAGCATTTTATTGTTAAGAATTAAGAGAAGGGATAGTATTTATCAGAAGCGTCGGAGAAGGGCGGCCCTTTGCTCCATAAACCCATCACTTCGGGGGATGTAGAAATTTAAAGGATTACCTGGTGCCTTCTCTGGCCCACAGGTCTTTCTCCACTTCACATGCCCTTTCTTACCATAAAAAAAAACCCAGACATAATGAAGAAATAAATGAGTGATTCATGTTAGTTTTGAGTTTTGTGTAAGCAAAGGAAATTTAGCTCTATTGCACTTGATGTGATGAAAGGTGATGGACCTGGTGCACAGCCTGTGAGGTCAAAGGATTTCTTCCAGATCATTTAATGTGAGTATGGATCAGACTCAAAGGAATAGCAGAAAGAGGTTCTGAGCATTTTTCTGTCCTGTTTTAGTCAGCTCAGATCCCCTCAGTCTTTCTGCCAGATGATGACTTAGATCAATAGGTCAAAAACATTGCGTCATTAGCCGTATTTGTTGGGTTTGCAGCAAAAGAACAGTATATGGGAACATTACAAAGTGCCATTCTCAAAGGAAAAAACCATGTAAGGTGTAAATCAAAGCTGACAGATACACCGGTATTCTGGCACCTGCTGCGCTTAGGCATACTCCTGTCCTCCTCCCCCTTTCATTTCCTCTTTCCTTATTTTGCTCCTGTTTACTTCCTTTGCCTTTCCTCATGCTTCATCTCGCTCATTTGCACCCACTGTCTTTCAGCCTCTTCCCATAGGATGGCTTCCTCAGTGCTTGCTTTCCTTCTCAACTGCTGGGTCCATCAGCCAAAGCGCTTCCCAAGCAGATGCCAGCAGCCCTGCAGCTGGCACAGCCAAGTGAACTGGGTTTTCAGTCTCTGGAAGAGCACTTATGAAGTCTGGGAGCTCTGTGCTTGACTTTTCACAGCTTCCAGGTCAAAAGTTGCTGTTAGAAGTAGAATTTCTAGTTGTGCACTGCTGCTGGACAATACAGCTTTTCTTTTCTTCACATCAATAATAAAGTTCACTGTTACAGTATCTTGAATAATTGCAAGGACAATGAGAACATGAAAAGGCACGCATTTGGACTTCTGTGGACTTTGCAAGGCTGACAGAAAAGAAGTCCCATCTAAGTCCTCTTGAGAGCATAAACAGTATAGAATTTATAAACAGGCTGTGTGACTGTTAAAGGTCAGCTTGACCTACACAGTGTTATTGTTACATTAACATGCAATTTATTCATAGAAAACCAGCTCATCATATTTACTCCTGAATAATTCATTTTGAAGCCAGAACCAACCTCTACTTCAATTGAAAGCCTCTTAAAAATGCATTTGATTGTAAGTAGGAAATGTGAAATAAGAGAGAAATGACCTTAAGAAGTTTTTACTTTCCACAAAATGTAGATAAATAGAGCGATCCTGATACACGATTACAGACTTGTGAGCCTGTCCTTCCTTTTCCCTTTCCACAGAAATGTGGTTTTGCCATGACTTGTGCCTGTCTTGTGAAAGCCAGCTTGTAAATTCTCTGCAGTCAGTGGGCATGCAAAGTATTCAGCCCACCTCTGACAGATGAGTAACATAGGAGATCAGTGGGAGCTGCTGGACATTTGGCACTTTGCATTCAGGCAGGTGTGTGGCAATGCTGTGGATTTAACCGTCTAAGGCAAGGAAGGCTTCTCTTCAAAATCTTGGTCTCAGCATAAAGCTTCTAAGATGAGAATTCAGCCCTCTAACAGGCAAATGTGTAGGGTATTCATTAATGACATGTGAACTTTACATTACAGTTGAAGCCTCATTGTTCATTAAAAATATAAATATCTGTATAACATTAGGTTTTTGTTTGCTTTGATCTTATTACAGAAATAACGACCTTGGTAAAGGTCATTTCCTGAGGATTAAGATTAATGACTGCCTGTGCATCGGGCTATCATCAACTCCCAGCCAGTCATTAATCCCCAGGAAATCCTGTGCCATATTTGCTTCTGCTTAAGTGCTGGTCTGGCAATCCTTTATTCACCAAGTCGTGAGCTGGACTGTTCATAACAGCATTACCCATATGAATAAGGATGGCATCATCAGACCTGCTGTGTTGGTCAGGCCCCAATCCAAAATCCAAGCAACTCAAACATTAATCATGGCAATCATGGATCATTTGTAGCTTTTTTTTCTTCTGAGTCCTGTACCT